AACAACTACATGATAGCACCCGAGTGAGGTTCTAAACAATGGCTGTTTCTAGAGAGACTTTTGCTTCCTGTGTACTTGTGTGCTTGGCCAGTCGGGATGCTTGGAAAGTTGAGCTGAGTAGGCCGGGAGAGAGGCCATTCAATGGTCTTGGTAGAACACATATTACATCACCAACAAAGAACTAAGCAGCACTGCACAGCACAATACACTGTGATACATGTGGTCCTATACTCATGAAGGTCATAACTACATACCTCAATTCTCAGCTCTGTTGATTGCAGTTTTTGGTAGTCCTGCCTGATAATACATGGATTTTTTCAGTCATTTGAGTTCCAGTTAGGGTAAAGGCTGTTAGAGTTCACCAGCTGCTGAAACAAAAGTGAGCACGTTTTCTGACAGAACATTTGTATAATAAGTATATTGGGAGATGATAAATACCTACTTTAATTCTAAGAATATCACAAAATCATATTCTGAAGACTTTTTCTTTGCTGTTTTCTTATTAATATGACCAACGCTGAAGTATTCAAGAGAAAGGAGATAAAGATAAAAGAGGCCAAAAAGTGAGGGAAGCTAAGAAGAAAATACCACCATAAACAAATAAAAGCTGCATCTTTTTTCCAAAGAAGATGGAAAGTAACCAAACAAATAAAGCTAAGCTAAGGACTAAGATTTTTTCCAAAGAAGATGGAAAGTAACCAAACAAAGTTAAGCTAAGGACTAAGGGGGCAAGTTGCCTAAGTAAGGCCTATCCCTCATTTTGGGGTGTTTTGCAGCCACACTAACCCCAAAAGAACTTGGGGAGTACCCTTTCAGGGTATAAAATGTCTCCTTTGGAGTATGGTAATTGCAATTTTTCTAATCCCTTGTGGGGTACTATCTAAGCTTTGAACCTGTGTAAAGGCTGGGCTTATATATCACAATTTATGGGGTAGGGGATGAAAATTCAGAGACTAAGAAGAGTCTGGAGATAAAAATAAATAAAATAAATAAATAAATAAATAAATAGAAAAGGGAATATATGACCACTAGGATACATGCTACATTTATGTCCCAGTTTTTGATCTCAGGGGATTTCAAATGGCTTACTTTAATTTGATCCCAGAGGTCAGATACTGATTTGTGATCGGGGCTTAGATGGTTTCATTTTAGTCCTTATCTTGTCCTGTCCAAACTTGTCTGCAAACTGCCCCACAATTCAGCTCAGTCGGTAGCCTCTGCTCAAAAGAGGTCAGAACTGAGTGAGCAAGGGAAATGCACATCAGAACTGAGCGCATTCATTAGCAAAGCTCCCTGAGCGAGTTTACACAGCACTTGCCCCCACTGTTCCTGGCTCAAATTGTTATTGTTAGTACCTTATCAACACCAAATTGATTTTCTTAAAAAACAGGAAAATCTAAACAAGAATTCAGTTGAAATCATGAGGCCAAGCAAAGGACTCCCTGGCATACCTAGCAACTGCTTTATTTACATTTGTTCTGGAAGCTGTTTCTAAATTGGATGTTTCCCAGGTAACTATACAGTTAAGCCATAGGTCACCAGGAGTGCTTCCTTATTTTCCATGATGAACTTATCAGATCTTCAGAACTCATTGTGCTTTCCTTAAGTGTTTACCGTTTACATACATCTCAGGGAGGGGTTTAGTTGGTATTCTAGCAGGATCTGAGGGAACAGAACATGCTTTATCTGTTGCTGACAAATAGCAGAAACATTAATTAGTCTTGTCTTGAACTGGTGTTGAGCAAAAAATAACAGGATTAAAAATATTCCAAACAGTCATCAAACTAGGGTAAATTTAAATTATCTATCTTTCTAAAATTACATATTAGGTGGAAATATTAACAAAATGCCAAAAATCTTCCCCTAAGAAAACACAGGGGAAAGGTGTGTATAAAAAAAATTATTAGTTCATCTTTCCAAAAAGCTTAAGCAAGGATTATATTGTTCAATACCAATACTTCATTCTAGATACAAATTTTTGTTACACTATCGCAAAATTAAAGGAAAAAGTTTTACTTTGGTGTTTAAGGTTAGGTACCTACGTAAGCCTATATTTAGATATCTACTTTGGTGTTTAAGGTTAGGTACCTATGTAAGCCTATATTTAGATATCTACCGGTAAATGAAAAAAAATCTGATTTTTCAGAAATGCTAAATATCTGCAACTCCAATGATTTCAGTGGTGGTTGAGAATGCTCAGCATGTTTTCAAGTCAAGTCATTTATTTATATGTCCATCTTGTAGGCACCCAAGTTTGAACATTCTGGCCATAATCATTCCGCTGTCAGAATGTCCCATTTTGTTAGCAGTGCAGTATGACTGCATCCTTGCTATGTGGATCACTTGGAACTTGAATGGGTAGGGGCAAATGATCTGGATCACCCTCCTCTCATGCCCAGCTGTGAACTTTGAACCCTTTGGAATGATAGTGGCAAAATCAAGATCAGAGTGGCTGATGATTTTCATCAAAACTCCACTGTCATGCCTGCGTTTTCTGGTACTCACTCAATTTAATTAAATTCACTTAAAGCCGGCACCTATCACCTGAGAAATGATCACAATCCATACAGCTTTTGCAGTCTGGCACAAAGTTTTGAGAATGTCTAAGATGACACACGCCCTACTCTGCACTCTTATTTATATAGGCCCCCTCATCACCCAACTACTCAACAATATGAAGAACTAGATGTGAAAATTCTACACAAGTTGTAATTCATTACAAAACATGGTCCTAATATCCTCATGGCACACATCAGTAGATATCTGAGAATCTGGCAAATCAATAAGGGGGAAAGCTAACTGTAGCACTTAGAGTGCCTGTCTTTCACTTACTAAATGCCAGCAATTGCTTGTGTCACTGGAGTATGGAAAGATCCTGTGCTCTGTCAGTTCTTAGTAGATAAATAATCTGGACCAATGGAGAAATCTAAGACTATACAAAGTAAATTATCCTGATCATGAATGGGTGCATATATTCAACCAAATCAGAAGTATATTTATACATTTTAAACATATAGAAATTCCACTGTATTCCCAGCAAAGGCATGAGGCCTGCATGGATGCATGCAATACCTATAATGATGATGATAAATACCAGGCTGAGGCAGACAGTGGAAATATTTAGCATGTTCTCTATAACTTTTCAAAGTGCACAAATTCTAGCAGCTGGATAAAACTCCTTGACATCCGTCATGTCTTTTCGTTGTAAATTTGCTTCCTCCATGATTTCAACAAATCATGCACAATTTAAGATAGGGCCTAATCCCTGCAGTCTTGATCACCTATCATTTCAGTGAATGCAAAGGGTGTTCAGTATCTCTCACACTTAAGTGCTACAAGCCAGGTTGAAAAAGGGATGCGTGCCTGCACAAAGTTAAACTTATTAACTACAGCAATTTAAAATTGGACCTGTAGTTTAAATCACTATATGTATAGGAGTAGATCAGAGGTAACATTTTCAAAAGTGTCCCAGGCCCAGATTTCTAAAGGTACTTAGGACCTGCTCTGATCATCACTCCATGTCCTAAACTGATATACACAGATAATGCCCATTTGGAAAAGTGACATGGGCTGCGATCACAAATGTAGTTAGGTGCCTAAGTTCCAATGAAATTTAGGTGCGCTAAATACCTTTGAAGATCAGGACTTCAGGTGCTTGGGGCTAGATCCACAAAGGTACTTGTTTCTTTAGGTGCGTACCTCCAACATCATGCAGAAAGGTCCTCTCATGGATCTGTAATCAATTCAATAACAGGGAAAAAATAGTAGCAATAAACGGTCAGTTTTCAGATTGGAAAGAAGTAAATAGTGATCCCTCTAGGAGATGTACTAGGACCAGTGCTGTTCAACAGATTCATAAATGGACTGGAGAAAGGGTAAAAAGTGAGGTGGCAAAATTTGCAGACAATACAAAATTACTCAAAATAATTAAGTTCAAAGCAGGATGAGAAGAGTTATGATGAGATCTAGTGACTTGGCAACAAAATGACAAATGTAATTCAAATAAAAACAAATAAAAGTAAGTAATTCTTCCTACAATGAACAACCATTGGAACTCACTGTCAGGGGATGCTGTAAAAGCCAAATTTATAAAGAACTAGATAACTTCATAGAGGCTAAGTCCATCAGTGGCTATTAACCAAGTTGGGCAAGGATGCCACCCATGCTCTGAATGTCTCTAGCCTCTGGTTGCCAGAAGCTGTCAGTTCATGACAAAGGTTGAATGAGTCAGCGATTGCTACTTCTGCTCATTCCCTCTGAAGCACCTGGCATTGGTCACTATTAAAATAGGATCCTGAGCTAAATGACCTCTATTCTGACCCACTATGACTGTTCTTATATTCTTATTAAAGGGCCACTGACATTCTCATAATCTCTGCTCTGCTGCTATCCAACTTTATAGGTATTTACATTTATGCTAGTGGGCATGCACAAAGCTGCTTAAGTCCTGACACCTCTCTATAGTTAAACTTTTCCTAGACCTTCCTCATACCTAAATCCTGGGGGATTCTCAAATTAGGCATTCTTCTCCTATCTCACCCAGAGGCCCAATCCAGTAACCATGCTCAGAATATATCTAACTCACACAAATGCCAGCTGGAAAGGGAGTGGGAGGGAGTGTGTCTCAGAAAGCCTAGTAGCTAGTACACTCACCTGGAATAAGATCCCATTTCAAAATTATTGATTTGGAGCAGGATCTTGAATCTGACTTTCCCACATCTCAGATGAGTATACCTGCTACAAAGCTATGAAGTCAAACTCTCTGGCCTATGAACTTCTTAATTACCTGCTACAAAGCTATGAAGTCAAACTCTCTGGCCTATGAACTACTTAATTATTACACAAAGTGGAACAGCTTCAACAGGGAATTGTGAGACCCAATCCAAAATACTTTATAGCTGGGGCCACTCAACCTTTTGCATAGTAAACACACCCATACTCCTCTTCCTCTTGTTTTGACTTTGTATTTTGAAACTTGCTTCCTTTTCTTTGTTTCCCAGGCTGCATTTTTGACATAGAAGTTCGCACTGGAAAGGATCACCAGTTTAAACCACTAGGGACTCTGGAAAGCCATCCCAATGCAGGTCGCAGTGTAGGACAATGTGAAGATTCCCCATGTAGTTTAATAAAATGCAAGAATGGAGGAATATGCATGGAAAGTGGCTCTACTGTTTAGTGAGTATAATGTTATTTCAGTGTAATAAACCATGAAAGTACATTAAACGCTATATCTGAATGTTTGTAGAGTGAATGTATTTGTTTAGTGTCTTGAAAACAAAAATGGAGACCCATGTTACTTATAAGTAAAAATATATATGTTGGAGGACACTGGCTTAGGGCCTACTTAAGATACACAAAGCATGTCAATATTTTTAATTCTAGAGTACTAAAATAATAAATATTGTTTGTGTTGCCTGGTACTCTCTAAAGTGCTAAGCATTGTCTAACTCTGCTCTGGTAAATATTAATGAAAGTTTTATCAATCACTTTAAATGGACCAGTGATAGACTAACCCTGGGTGATTTTGAAAATTCTAGTTGTTAGTTTTCTGATGACATAGCCAAACATGTATTAGGCACTTCATAAAAACAAGTAAAGATGTACTGTTGTCTTCAAGAGAGTATACTCTAAATAGAATATGCCTCTTACAGCCCTGGCTGAGGGTCACGAGGCTGTTATAACTAGACCCAACCATTGGACTTTCCATCATGGTTTCACACCACCTGGATCCAAGCAGTATCCAAAAGTTTTTGGCTTTTAGGGCACACTCTCAGGACATAAACTCCAGGTCTGTGATCCCTGTTTGGGATATGAGATCCCACAATCCACCTGCCTTTGACCCTGAAACTAGTGTGTGTTCTTTTGGAGTCCATAGCTGTAGGCATTCTACATTATAGTTTTTTAACTCTCTGGAGACTCAGTGCAGTTAAAGTAAGAAGCATAGGCATCACAAAGGAACAACTTAAACACATGTTACTCATAGATACCAAAAGAGTTATAGAACCTGACAAAAGAACAAACTTGTGAACACAATATGCCTTAGTATAATCTCACCCCCTTTTTGTGAGTCTCTAAGTTTGATCCAAGACCTTAAGGGAGGCCACATCCTCCCATGTCCACTCCTCCTACTGAGTCTTGTTGTTCTAGTGATTAAATGGCTCCTCTTGCTCAGCAAGCATGTCACTTTTAAAAGTAGTTTGTGACTTTCCTTCTGCTGAAATATTCAAGGCTGCGATGCCATATGGGATTGCTGACACAGTCATTAAAAATCAATGGCTATGGCTGTACAGGGTAGAGTTATTCAGTGTTGATGATTCTTTGATGGCTCTGTTTCAGTTCCCCAAACATAGCCTGTTTCTATTCTAAAATAGACATTCTAATCCACACAGAAGGTTACAATCATAATTACTATATAATAAAGATGAATTCATATGTTAGTACTGACATATTCCTCAAACTATTACAATGATAAATCAGGTAAAGATAATAAACAGCTGAAAAAAAAACTCACAAAACTGTAACAGACAATGTGGGCAACAACCATATCATCAATAATACAGATGCACACCAGGGTGGTTTTGTTAATTATGAGGTCGGGGTTTACTTTTTATTTTTCTTCCACCCCAGTCTCAAAGGCAAGGTGGTAGAAGTGAGATTTTTGGCATATTTTCTGATCAATCATAGACTTCCTACATAGCCTTAGGCAAGACAGTTGTTTCTCAGCCTATAAAATGGGGATAATAGTTATTCCTCACCTCACAGGGCTTTTATATTTAATACAAAATACATTTTGAGAAGAATGTAGATACTATACTAATGAGGGTCATGTAAGTACCTATGATAGAGTAACAGAGTCTATCTATAGAATATTTCATGATTACCTAGCCATGCCAATGTTATACAATTCTTAGGGTGAGCTGTTTTGTGCGGACATGGGTCATCTTTTAGAATTCATTATTGCTGCTCTCGGTCAGCACCCATTGCAATGAACCTGGATTTTCCAACAGTTTATAACTCAGCTGTAAAACTTTTGCTCCTGAGAAAGCTTGGCTTTAAAAGTATTTACTGGTAGAAGAGGATTAATTTTTACTCCCAAATGGATGCTTTGGTAGATACTCAATATAATTTTCAACAAGGATGTACTGATTTAAATCACTGAAGACAATAGGACATGGGAAAAGGGCTACATACATTTTACATTACAAACTCTGTGTGGGGGCACTGAGTATGTAAAATGTAGCCATACAGGGCTTTAAAAGTATTTACTGGTAGAAGAGGATTAATTTTTACTCCCAAATGGATGCTTTGGTAGATACTCAATATAATTTTCAACAAGGATGTACTGATTTAAATCACTGAAGACAATAGGACATGGGAAAAGGGCTACATACATTTTACATTACAAACTCTGTGTGGGGGCACTGAGTATGTAAAATGTAGCCATACAGATCCAGAAAATCAGACAACAATGTAGTAAGTGGGGAACGAGTGCACACCTGCCAAAGCTTGTGCTGATGTTTTATCCCTATAATCCTGCAGAGTAGCAGTTTATTTGCGATTTAGTGCTGGTTGCTGAGCCATAGAGCATCTCTGTTTTGAATGTCTCGCCCATACCAGCACAGTGCAGGATCTTGTCCGATCTCTCTAGAGCTACAAAATCCTATTCACCTACATTTTGCTCTTTCCGAAGAGCAAAGCCTCAAAGTCATTGTAAAGCTCAATTTTCACGTATAGCAGCATATTTGAAAAGAGGTCAGTTGCCAGCCAGAAAGACACGAGTGACCAAATAAGTGGGCTGAAGCCCAGAATCACTGGCAGCATCCTCCAAGTTGCCCACTTGCAAACTCTCTGCTCCGCAGCTCAGTTCTGAGTTACATACCCTTGCAATATTCCTGCGGGGCACAGAGTCTCTGGCAAGTGCGTGCATGTGCGTGTAGGGGGCAGCAATTGAGGAACATTTGGAGAGAGAAAGTTGAGGTGCTGTTGGGAGGGGTACCAGTATTGGAGGGTTCAATACTATGGGGATTTAATGTACATTTTAACATTTTTAACAATATTTTTAACTCCAGCTTAGTTTTTGTTTTGTGCTGGTGCTACGGTGAATTTTCACTTGTCATGGTGTAAACTGAAATGGAATAAATGTGCCCACTGATGTTAATGTCACTCAATCACTGTCCAACCTTCAACAGTTTTAAACAAGGTTGGGGTTTGATATAAAAGACCTCAGCCTGTTTAGTACCATGGCAAAAAGATTAGAAAATCCTTTGATTAAAGACACAGAAAAAGCAGAAAAAACAGTTAACGCATTTCTGATGTAAATCCAACCCATCTGCATCAATGGGCAATGACAGCATCTGTATCCCTCTCTCTGGCCCCTCTGCTCAAGACATCTTTCAAGTTTGGGATGAAGAAGGTCTGGGGGCTAAAAAGATGGTGTGGGGGCAGGGATGGCAGCCATGATAGTGAAGCTTGCTTCTGTAGGCAATTTTTCTATCAAAATTAATGTTCTTTAAAGACCCAAAAAGGAGTGATGGGTAAAATAGTCCACCCCCATTATTTTTGGCACTAATTAGGTTAATTTCCAGCCCATCAATACTTGTTCAATGATTTCAGACACTATCCTTTCCTTGTCTACCAAATATGATCATAATATAAGTCTATGATTATATCAGAAGGCCTTTCCGTTTGGATGAATTTAGTCTCTTTTGCATCTTTGCCCATCAACAGTTATTATAGTTAACTGACATATAAAAATAATGAGTGGCACCTTAGAGACTATTAAAAATATATAGGATCATGAGCTTCTTTATATGAATTATGAATTCCACTCACTTTTCACATGCCACTTCATAATTAGGGTAAATGTGTAGGACCAGTTATCACAACAGGCCCTACATATCTGTCTCTTATGTGTATTTATACATACACGTTTTTCTTCTTGGAATCATAGAATACGAGGACTGGAAAGGACCTCGAGAGGTCATCAAGTCCAGTCCCTTGCCCTCATGGCAGGACCAAATACTGTCTAGACCATCCCTGATAGACATTTATCTAACCTACTCTTAAATATCTCCACAGATGGAGATTCCACAACCTCCCTGGACAATTTATTCCAGTGTTTGACTACCCTGACAGTTAGGAACTTTTTTCTAATGTCCAACCTAAACCTCCCTTGCTGCAGTTTAAAAGCCCATTGCAGCTTGTTCTATCCTCAGAGGCCAAGATGAACAAGTTTTCTCCCTCTTCCTTATGACACCCTTTTAGATATCTGAAAACTGCTATCATTTCTCCCCTCAGGCTTCTCTTTTCTAAACTAAACAAACCTAATTCCTTTAGCCTTCCTTCATAGGTCATGTTCTCTAGACCTTTAATCATTCTCGTGCTCTTCTCTGGACCATCACCAATTTCTCCAAATCTTTCTTGAAATGCGGTGGCCAGAACTGAACACAATACTCCAATTGAGGCCTAACCAGCGCAGAGTAGAGCGGAAGAATGACTTCTCGTGTCTTGCTCACAACACACCTGTTAATGCATCCCAGAACCATATTTGCTTTCTTTGCAACGGCATCACACTACTGACTCATATTCAACTTGTGGTCCACTATAACCCCTAGATCCCTTTCTGCCGTACTCCTTCCTAGACAGTCGCTTCCCATTCTGTATGTATGAAACTGATTGTTCCTTCCTAAGTGGAGCACTTTGCATTTGTCTTTATTAAACTTC